ATTCCTCAATAACTTATTGAACTTGCATTTAATAATGGAAAAATAAAGTAAAAATAGAAGCAATAAATATGATAAATAAAACATAGTGAGATGAGATGTATTATGTGCTACAGGAAAAATAGTAAATAGCATCTGAAAATATCGGTAAAAAAATCTTAGGGAAGAGTGGTAACCAATGGCAATATTATGTTTGGTGGTTAGAGGCACTCTTCCTGGGAAGACCTGGAGGTGCTAGAATTGCCCAAGCAAATGTCCTGAAGGAAAGCAAAGGGAGAAGCAAGGCCACAGTCCTTGTGGCTGATGCATACCTAGTTTGTTCCATTTGAGACAGTGGGGCTGAGGAAGATTTTGTTGAGTAGACAAACAACAGATGACCACGACAAAGAACAATGTGCCCAAAATGTGTGGCATGGTGGTTATTGTTTAGACTTTGGCTTTGACATTAATGAACAATATATGTTTTTAATTGTGAATGTTAAGATCATATGTCTGACTTGTATCAGAAGATTTAGCTCAGTGGTAGAGGACTAGCTCAGAATGAACAAGGTCCTGTGTTTGTTCTCCAGCTCGATTAATAAGTATAAAAGTGCAATTAAAATCTCAAATACATTTGAGACATGTAGATGTTACTTCTCATGAATATAATCTAATAAAAGCTAGCCAGACACAAGTGTTATGAGTGACTAGATAAAGATCCAAGATATCATTTAGATTACGCAAGGAAAAGCATATTGGCATACATTTCAATATCTAGAGATCATCAGCCTTTTACGCAAAAATAGCTATATATATTATAATTGGAATATATGTGATGAGAGGGTGGGCCTTCTGCCAATGCAGCACAACGTGAATCTTGATTCCTTTTTACTTTTTTATTGAGCTACACATTTTTCTCCAATACCTTCCCTTCCTCCCCTCTCCCCTTCTACACTGTCCCGTGACTTACACGCTTCCAATTTACTCAGGAGATTTTGTCTTTTTAACCTTCCTATGTAGATCCATATGTGTCTCTCTTAGGGTCCTCTTTGCTCCCTAATTTCTCTGGGTTTTTGGCCTGTAAGCTGATTTTTCTTTGCTCAGTAATATAATTTAGCTATATCTAACACACGAACACATTGTGACGTTTGCTAGCACAATCATAGTGCTTCTGTGGAACGCTATTTCTAAGGAACATCCACGTCTGTCTCTCACTGGGACCTTCCCCTCTAGCTGTTACAGGTCCATCTCTATTATCCTCACACTGAAGACTCCCCATGCATGATCCTGTCCTTCCAGGAACATTTCTCACATCATCTTCTGTTCTAGTTCTTCCCTCACGCAAGTCTCTAACCTGTATCTTAGCTCTATCATATGTCCCATAGCTAATTTCATGTGCTGCATCTGAAAGAAGGGAGGAAAAAAAAACACTTACTATCTTGTTCTAAACTATCTTTGAGAATGTAAAGAAAATGTATAAGAACAAATAGCACAAGAAGTAATATTTCTTATAAAGAAAAGGTAGTCAAGTATTTGGAATCAAAATGCGGGATTATAGGGTTGTATACATTTGTCAATTTCATGGTTTTGATGTTAATAAGATAAACTCTTAACAGTCTTCACTATGATGTCAATACATAGGCACTGTTGTCTGCAATTTAATTTAAGCCACAGTTGAAAGGAAGTATCCAAGTGGAATCTTAGGAAAAGTCGAGCAAATACAAACAATATAAAAGTCAAGCAAATATAAATACAAGGATAGAAAGTTGCTTACTAAAATCAAGAAGGAGAAAAAAACTGGAGGAAAGAAATCGAAGGTTCAGATTTGCTTATGGACAATGAGTTAAGTTCTAAGAATTTAATATTCACATAGACTGCGGTGATAGCTTTGTATTGATACTGAAAATTGGCTAAAAGATACATGCATTTGCACACAGAGTGCCTCATGTGTAATCTTTCAATCTAGTTTTTATTTCTATGCTTGTGCATATGAAAACTTGTCATATCTTAAACACATTTAAAATAATTACATAATGTCATAAGCCATATGTCTGGGTGTTCTCTATAAAATTGCTTCATGACTGAAAAATATCAAAACAATTTTAAAAATTACTTCATTATTAGTATATTTTTAAAAAAATTTTCAATGGAAAAATATTTAAATTGAAAATCACATACTCTCTCTCATACACAAAGACAGATTCAGCTATTAAGATAAGATACATCAGTTTGTTTTGCTAAAAAAAAAAAGTCTTCCATTGTGTGATGTTCAGGACAAAGTATACACTTTCAAGTATGACTTGTGCTCCGTGTTCTAAAGAAAATAAATAATGAATTCATTTTATCTCAGTTCTCATGTCTACCATCATACCATTAGATCAGAAGGGGAACATTGCCAAGAACAGATTATGCCAAAGTTGAAATCATTAACTTCTCTTGGAAAATTTTACTGCTCGCTCTCATTGTTGCCAAGTTACATCTTTCTCAGTAATCGGTTTTTTTCTAACATATCTGCATGAAAAAGCTGTTTGATATATCAATGATTAAACTTTAGTGAAGGAGTGATGCAGAAAAAATAGTGGAAAGAATTCTTTGAGTGAAGTGTGCATGCAAGCATAAGAAAAAAAGACTCAACAATATAAAATAAAGTCCTAGGAAATAGTAATACAGAGATTGAAATAACACATTATTAATAATGACAACTAAGCAATTCTCTAAAATTAGCACGTATATGAGTTTATTAATAGCACTATGCCTCTTGACTGTGAAGACAGTGTATCCAGCAACCCATCTTCCTCTTGCCATTTCTTCCCCACCATGATGGAGTGAGTCCTCTGAACAACGTGTTTTCTCATTATTGAGTGGTATTGGGAATTTTAAGTTGAAGAATAATCTGATCTATAAGAACAGAATTCTTCAAAATCCAGAAGAGGCATTCCAATCCACAGATGTGCCAACAACCACTCAGGAATCAATAAAAGTGAAACTAAAAGCAAAAATGACTCCCCTTAAAAAAGAGCACAAATCTTTAGCTGATGAACTCAAACGTTCTACAATAGGTCAAATATGTCAGATGGAGATTTCAAACATTTTTCTCTTTAGAAATAACCAATGGTGTAAAAGAAAATACGAACATGGATTTAATTCTGGCCACAGAGGGGAAGGTGAAAGCATAGGACCAAACTAGCCCCTCTGAATGTTGTTGACAGTTGCACGGTTGGGACAGACTGGAAAACCACTGGCAATGACACCAGGATTTATCGCTACTGCTTGTGCTGGCTTTGGGGGAACTTATTCTTTTTGGATGGATGCCTTGCTCAACCTATTTATAGTAAGTAGGGCCTTGGACCTTCCCCAAAGCAATGTGCCTTATTCTCTCTGAGAATTGGATGGGGGTGGGGTGGGAGGGTAT